TCTTTTTATAAGAAACTGTTTATAATATGCTGCATTTGTACTTAAGCTACTCAGGATGAATGCAAAAAGTGACTGTTCACAGACCTCAGTGATCGGAGCACTGTCGCTCAGGAGTGACAGTTGGTAATATGCAGAAGGGATGGGTGATACTTATTGCTTCTCATGATGCATGTTTCTGTATGTTAATGACTTGTTGGGTAGCTACTAAAGTGCTAGAATTGATAAATGTGTACAGGATCATTTTGCAATAAAGGTTATGACTTGATCCAAGTGTTTAACAATTGAGGCTGTCAAGTCTCACCATACATCACTGTGATAGAATGTGGGCTTTTCCAAGGGTGAAGATACAAGTCTTAAACCACAGTGTAACTTACAGTTTCCTTAAAAAAAAAAAAGTAAACCTGGAAGCTATAGAATACACTACGTACATTTACAATAACTATATTATATATTGTAGTGTCAAAATTTTTAAATTAAATGTTTCACATTCACAAGTGGGAAAAAAAATCAACGAACAACAAATTCTGGTGGGGCTCTGGGGAAAAAAGAACCCTTCTCCACTGTTGGCAGGAGTGTAGACTGGCAACCACAGTGAAAATTTGTGTGGATTCCTCAAAGAACTAAAAGTAGAGGTTCCATTTGATCCAGCTATTCCCTTCCTTGGTATCTTCTTGAAAGACTACAAGTATCCTACCACCGTGATATATGAACACCCATGTTTATAGTGCCACAGTCTGTAATAGCTAAATCTTAGAAACAGACCAAATGCCCATCGACCAATGAATGGATAAAGATGTGTTTTTTATATGGTGGAGTACTACTCTGCCATAAAGGACGCACTTTAAAAATTTACAGCTAGGGACAGGGATTTAGCTCAGTGGTGCCACGCCTGCCACACAAGTGCAAGGTCCTGAGTTCAGTTCCCAGTACCAAACTAAACAAAACAAAACAAAAATTTATAACTAAATGGATGAACCTGAGACCATACTCCTTAAGTGAAATAAACTAGACACACATTTACCACATTCTCTGGTGTAAGAAATCAAAGTAGAAATAAGGACCAAAATATACAATACATATTGGGAAATGGGAAGAAAATGTTCAAATGGGAAGGGGAACAAGAGGGAGAAAAGAAGGAAAGGACAAGAAAAAAAGTGAAAATAGGAAAAAATGTAAACAAAGCATTTGTACTCAGGAAGGGGAGGGGGCTTACAAGGGAGGAATGGGAAAAACAGGCAGGATGTATCATGTACATGTGCAAATTCCCTATGATGAGTGCTATCATTATGGATGCCTAAAATGTACCAATAAATGTTTTGCTATTTTAAAAAACCAAAAAATAAAAAAGGGAAGGATGTAGTTCAGTGTGAAGACCCTGAGTTTAATCCTCAGTACCACAAAAGTAAATAAATCTTATCAGATTGTACATTTTAAATAAGCACTTTTGCTTTATGTCAATTACACCTAAAGCTGTTTTCTAAGATGCAAAAAAAAAAA